TGGGTATTAGAATCATCGGAGAAGTCACCCGCGAGCGTGTCGAAATTGTGCGCAAGGCGGATCACATCTTCATCTCCATGATCCGCGAGGCTGGAATTTATGACGAGGTTCGACGCGACCACTTGTCATCTGTGAGAAGTTTTACTAATCGATTTGCCAGGTCACCCAAGCCTACGCTGCGCTTGACACAAACAGAGGTAACCCCTTTTCTTCCATTCTATGAAATTGTATCAATATCTGACTTGCATTCGTCAACAGCCGTCGGAGTGCAAGGTGATGCCAGAGCGTATGGCTACATCTGCGTTCTGCGAGCCGTGACCAGCTTGGATATGATGAGCGCCGAGCCCTACGAGTTCGAGTGGAGTCTTCTCAAGGCTATTAGTAGACGCATTGTGAACGAAGTCGACGGCATCGCGAGGGTGGTATACGACACCACATCAAAGCCTCCAGGTAAGAGCCTCCTCTATGCTTCTCCTTCGCATGCTTGTGATGTTAACAGACCGACAGGAACGATTGAATTGGAGTGATACTGCTCCCCGATCGAGTTCAAAGAAGATTTTACCAGGCTGCTCTTTCAGCGCAGACCTGAGATGGCGTTTAGAAGGATGGAATAGATTTGCCGAATAAAGGGGTATGTGTCTTAGCTGCGGATCTGCGAAATAGGAGGTTACGACTCGACTCGACTCGACGCCCTAGCGACTCTGCAATGGAAGTCAATCCAGGCTAAGCGACGGGACACATAACCTCCGAGTCTTGATCAAGGATAGCACTTACCTTACGTAGTCTCATGATTTCAATGATTATGTTTTTCTTTGATAATCCTAGTTCTGGTCTCTTCAGGTTACACAGTAACCGCTTTTACTCAATCCAAGCCATCGGCTTCACGACCGGCGATGAGGTTACCAAGACGGTTCTTGCAAACAAGGTCAGAGTAGAAAATGTTAATCCTGGGGGAATACATCCTGCAAGGCCAGCGTTTAGCCAGGTAGACACCCAAGCAAGCCCCTTTTATCCCTTGAATTGGGCACTTCGTACCATAATGCGAGAAGGATGCCAGTCTGAGCTGCTTACTACGCGGCATGGATTTGCTTCGCTCGTGAAGAATTTCAGATATATACGTGTTTGTGAATAGCCCTTCACAGACCCTTCAGTTGAAGTAGAAGCCTCGCCACAGAATAGCCAAGGGCCAGCACATCAAGACCGAGAAGCAGCTCAACCGCACCCGTAGAGTAACTATACTCACAGGTGCGTGTATAGGTCCTCAGTGGCCATTGACATTATTATCCGCCACTAGTGGTAGGACAGCCGGCGGTGAAGTTTGTCTATGGATTGGTTCGTTTGATCACTGGTTAGAAGGGTATACTTTGCCTTGTGAAGACGGACTTTCAAAGGAATCAATACATGGAGTGATAGGATTTTCTGTGAAAAGGGACGGCCAGGAGCAGCACTGATAGAGCCAATGTTCGACAATACGATGCTATCTCGTTTCATGCAGGGCTCTGTCACTTGTCATCTGAAGACCTGAAGATTCACATCATGGTGACACAACAAAGGGCCAAGGGACATAGTTTCCGGGCTGTCCTTTTGATAAATCTTCATAGCCTTAAGATCACAAGGGATTTGCGGCTTCCCGTTTGATCGATGGAAGGCGAATCATCTAGATTTCCAAGCAACTTGAAAAGGTCGGTGAAAGGCACCGCCTCCAGTCTTCAATAACATCTGCAAGTTAATGTGGTCTCTGATACATCGATGGGAGTCCATCGAATAAGGTAATGCTGTGGCTTTGACAGCGGGCCGTTCCCTGACTCGATATGCTGGCATGACAACGAGTAATGTCTGAGTAGGCGCTTGGGACATGTCATGGGGAAATGTCATGGTTTGGTGATTGGGTAGTCCAAGCGCAGACGTTGCATAAATTCCGATACAGACACAAGTGATTGGATGAACGGGTACATTCTGTTGTCATCGGTCAGTCATGGCATGAAGTTGGGAGACGATTCTGTTGGTGATGACTGTCACCCCTTATTATGATTACTGGAATTTTCAAAATCGATCCTTTCGGAAATCACAATAGGATGACTGCCAGCTTCCGTATAATATTTATTTTCGACAAACGCGCTTGGCAAAAATAGAACGGCCACATACGAGTTTCTCTGTCTCGCTGAGTAACATAGGTACTTTACCAAGGTCGAGAATGTGGCTGTTTGATGCTGGGAGTTTCGTTCTATTTGGAGGCCTTTTTTATGCCCAACTCAACTTGCCAAACCACTCGATTTAAATTTTCTTAAAAGAAAGGCATTGCTCGTGTCTTTTGAAAAGTGAAATATCAGATATCTCAGAGAAACAACATCACTTACACTTCACCAAAGCCAAAGATCAAGCACAGATCGTCGATTTATTCTTGACACAGTCACAGAACATCAATAATCTGGCAAGGCTTCAACGAGCCGCCCTACGGCCGGGTATAGCCTTGTTTGTGTCTCCTTTATTCCTACTCGTCTAGCCGCCCAGATCTACACAGCACCCAACACCTAGGTGCCAAAGCCATAGAGTGAGGGAGAGAGGCAGCCGTCTTCCGCATCCCATCCTTCACCCACAGCAACAACTTATGAGCGTGATCTGTCCGAGTTCTTGTTCCTTGTCACTATCAATTATTATTATTGCAACACTGAAGCTTCTCCATTTGCCACAAGCAACAATAACAGGACTCGGCGCAGAACAAAACTCTAAAAGCTAGACAAGCCCAAGGCGAGACGTCATTGTCCGCTAGACTACACCACCCACCATCGCGCCAGTCAACGCCCAGACGCCGAAGCCAACGTTACCACGCCAAAACTCTCTCTCATTCTTAGCGTCAATCTTGTACCGACCTGTTCAGTGGGCACATGGTTGCAGAGCCTCATGATTCAAGAATCAGCACTGTTGAACATTCTAGCTCGGGTCTGACAGCCCTCTTGGCCTTAGTCTGGGACTATTCGCCTCGAATTCAAGGGTTCACGAGGTCCCTGTCCCTGACATCGAAGCCTGAAAGACTCATCTCCGCCAAATCTCTTCCGTAAACCAGAATCGCTTCATAGATACGTACCTCACCATCCCCCTCTGGTAGCAACGACTATACCCCAGTGGACCCGTTCGCAGCCCAAGGCCCGAGCCCGAGCCTGAGCCTGAGCTTGAGCCTAAGCCTGGGATCAAGGTTGTTTGTCTGTTCATACGCTTAGTTTTGGGCATCTGAGTTTTCGGGCTCGCGTCCTCGTCGGCTGTCCCCGTTGTTGCTCTCCAAGAGCCCAAAATACTCAGAGCTTCCATCACTCAATCGAGTTAGGAAGCCCGGTGAAAAGCCGAGGAAGGCTAGGCAAGTGCCACTGAAACTCCGCTCAGAAACGGCGGGATATTGAATATTCTTGAGGTACCTGCAAGTCAATGCCTTGTGTGGTCGAGATAATAAAAGGTAGATGCTGTGAGAAAGAAATTGTCTAACTGTTGTGCTGTCAGGAAGAGGTCCGTACGGTTACAAAAAGGCCAAACCGGGTAAATAACAACCCTCAGGTTAGCTCGATAACCTTGACTACCGACCTAAGCACGGAGCCCAGGTAACTACCTATCCTGCTCTTGGTGCTGACAATTGCATCCCGGTGGGGGACTCGCTCTCTGGCTCTTACCGAGATCATTGCATAGTCTACTCCATACACATGGTCTGGTCTGAAGACAACGATTGTATGGGAACTTTGAGTCAACGTTTACAGCTTGCCGTCGCCGTTCTCCACGCCACTACATCGATCGTCATCGGTACTCCCACAACCTTCTACTAATAAGTTAAGTCACTGATCAGGGGTTGCTGGCACTGGGCAGCTAGTTGCTCTACCCATAACGGAGTGCAATAGTCTGCTACTTTTCTCAGCGCCTTGAGTTGTCGAGAGCTTGTTCCGGGAGATAGACCTCGATTCTCGCAAAATACCATCAACTGTCTCTTCCTCCTCCTTCTTCTTCCTTCTTCCCTCTCCCTGCAACTCTTCCCAATCTCTCCATAATTCTTGGTCCTCTCGGCATTGCCCCTCACCCCACCTTGACCACCTTCTGGTGGTGGACCCTCGTACAAGAAGAGAGAGCACACGCACAGAGCAGAACAAAGAAGGGCTGTCTTCCAAGACGCCTTGATAGCTCGATTGTATTCCCCTCTCGAATCTGTTCATAGCAGCATTTACGAGTTGTAAGTATTTACTGGAAGATCCAACTTTCGTTCGTACTTTAAATTTGCTGACCGACTGCTCGAATTAGCCCCAACCATTCAGTACATTAAAGATAGTCCTCACGAATTGGCTTCTTTATTATACACGCCCGAGTCTCACTCATTTCACTTTGCAATCGGCCTGCTGAGGTGCGAGTGAATTCAATTGCAGTATTGGCTTTCTTCTAACAGAAGATTGCCCTCGCTGTTCTCTACTTTCAATTACATCCTCTGAAACGCAGTGTTACTGGTCACCCTGCGTCATCTCAATCAGTGTCATCCGATCTCAACGCCACCACTCCAAGCGGAAGCGCATCAATAATAGCAACAACATAAAAAGATTCCTTGTCAGGTCCTCGGCCTAGCCAGACATTTTATTTGGCCTCAAAACGAATCCTGGGTCTTCGTCACCATATCAGACATTACCCTACTTGACCCTGCTATTTGCTCCCTGGTCCACGCTGACAAGGACTGACCAAGTTCGACCCCTCCTCACGTGGCCTTGGCTTCAAAGTACATACAGCAAGGTTGATTGCCGTCATCCTGCACCACGGACGGAACGATACGCCACGGCTGCCTCCACCCAGTCCAACGTCTGGCGTCCTAACGCTACCGCTTTTCTCCACGGCATCGCCCTTTGTCCAACGTTTCTCACGACTCGCCTCCGATTTCGTACATTTGAGATTTCCCTCGCAGCTGGCTCACAACAGCACACATAGTTTCGACAGCTCGGCGATCAGATAAGCTTCGCAATCCTGTGTAGCCCCACGTCATCATGACGGACCGTCATCGCTATCCGTCCTCGGGACGAGCGGCCACCTTTGCCAACCATGCGAGAACTTCTCTGCCGTCAAGCATTGGCTACACTTCTTTGTACGCCGGTGACATGCACGTCATGCCGACTTCGACCCGACAGCAGCAGCCCATTTTGACGACACCACGAGGATATGTTACAACTACTTCTACAACACCAACACCAAACACCACCACCCGGACGTACGCCGTTACTCAGGACCCTCGTTCACACAGACCGACTACGCGGGATGTCACACGCTCCCAGCGGTCCTCCACACTAGATTCTACTAGTCGTCCCCCAGTAATTGTCATGACCACCCAGAAGGACCGCCCCAATGGCACGAGTTCTCATTCTTCCAATGCTCGCCCCGGAAGTCCCTTGAGGGATGACTACCGTTCGAGCGATGGGCAGTTTTATACACAACCTGCCTCATCTATACGTTCACGCAGCACAGCCCGCTCCTATGCCGATCAGCCAGGAAACGACACTTATGCTCGCAGCAGCAGAGACCGCAGCAACAGCTTGGTACGCGACGACCCCTACCGCAACAGTCGTCATTCTGCGATATACCAGAATAATCCCCGTCAGAGCTCTAGTAATATCGACTATGGGGACGACGGTTATCAGTACACTAATGCCGGTGAGCTGGTTCGCTACGACCTCGATCATTCAGGCCCTGCGAGGACTCGCAGACGTGAGAGTTTCGACCGTGGCTACTACCGCCCAAATATTAACTACAACGCGGATCAGCGAACGTTCAATGTGGATACCAGCCCAGACTTGAGTCGCAACTACATAACAACAAGCACAACCAGCGTCCCAAGCAATCGGCAATACGATAACCGGGGCGGTCCTCCACCAAGTACACGAGGGTTTGACAAGATTCGAGGGTACGAAAGTCCGCGGGACTTTGCTCCGATGCCCTCCAAGACTCCCGAACCGACCTTGGTCAAACAGGACACCCCCCTTGTTGCGACTACGGAAACCACAAGACGGCCTCGGCCAGTGTCATTGTACCAAGAGGGACCACCTCGTTCTTCGCATCACGACGATTACTATCGGAGCCGAGAAGACGAAAGAAAAATGCGAGAATTTCGTGATCAGCCAGAATCTGAACTCACTTATGAGCCCGAGCGCGCATACGAGGCACCCTACTTCCAAGATGACAGAGTTACTTCCCGTGGCTTCGGCATCCGAACTGACACTACTGACGAACACGATGATCGCCGTGAACGTCGCCTGGAACAACCGAAAAAGCGATCAGATGAAGACCTGCCACGTGATGCTGATTATGAGCGCGATGATCGACGTCGAGGCCGGCTTGATTCCAAAGACACTCGCCGTGAGAGACGTGAGAGTAAGAAAGGGAGTGATGATGACGAAAAGGAGCGTACTCGGTTCCGTGACAAGGTGGCTACTGGCCTGGGTATTGCTGCGACTGCTGTAGGCCTTGTGCCTGCCGTCAAAGACGACGACAAACGCGACAAAGATCCCGGCAAACGTAAAGGCTCTGATGACGAACGTGAGCGCGAACGTGAACGTGAAAGAGACCGAGATCGTGACAGGCGGCGCGATTCGATGAAAAGTGAACGCCCAAGAATCGTTGAGAGAGATGTATCGCGACAGCGTGATCAATCAAGGCAGCGTGACCAGGATCGTGATTCCAGAGAGACTAGTCGTCGAAACGGGGAGTCCCGTAAGAGCACTGAAGCCGTCATTTCGTCATCTGATTCCGACGAAGCCAAAAAGTCCACTCGGAGACGTCGCGATTCAAATGCCTTCAATCCGAATGATACTTCTGAACTGCGGCATCTCAAGGATCAGCTGGCAGCCTTGAAGACCACCGACAAAGAAAAGGAGAAGGAAACCCCGGTCGTGGTCGAAAGTAAGTCACGGTCCTCTTCACCTACTCGAGAAACGAGAACAGCAATAGAAGCTCGTCCATCCAAAGACTCCCGGTCACCACCCGATTCCAAGCCATCTGGACCCCCTGAAGAAGAATCCCGTGGCCGCGAATCCCAGCAGACCCCTCCGGACGACAAACAGGTCCGTGTAGTATCGCCTCCTCGCGATAAAAAGGATGAGAAGCCACTCAAGGGTATCTTGAAACAGCCAAAGGTCAGCTTTCCAGAGGAGCCGAATCCCATTCGTGAAGGGGTTGCACCTCACAAGGAAGACAAGAAAGCCAGAGAAGCACCTGCAGGTGCAAAATGGACCAAGATCAGCCGCAAGGTTGTTAACCCTGAGGCTTTGACCATTGGTAAAGAGAGGTTCGAGGTCAGAGATGACTTTGTCATTGTACTACGGGTACTCAGCAAAGAGGAAATTCAGGCATATGCCTCGGCAACACAAGTCTTGAGAGGTATGTTCTAAGTTCAGGGTTCAGCCTTAGCTTGAGCTGGTGCTAATTGCGAAATAGAGAGACGTCGCCGCGACGATGATGGTGGTGATACGGATCGGGATCGTGACCGTGATGAGGATGAAAGGAGAAGACATCATCGTCATCGCCGCCATCGGGACGATGACTCTTCAGACTACGAGGACAAGGACAAGGACCGCGACCGCGACCGCGAACGACGCAGGCGTCATCGAGATGAAGAGGAATATGACACCCGGTCAAGGGATTTGGACCATCATCATCATCACCACCACCGCTCTCAGCGAGAACGTGAGCCTGTGCTTGAGGCTTAGTGAGAGAAAGAGCGTTGAAACCACCATGCCATTATCTATGGCTGAATGTTTTGATCGAGTATTTAAGCGTTACATCGAATGACCAACGGCGGGCCTTCTTTTATCAGGTATATATTGAGCGTTACCAACCATACATCACACATTAAGCATAAAAATCGGGCAATTTAGCGACGCATTCTGGATAAACAAACATAAAATAAAATACGTTCTGGTTCACATTATTCCTGCATTATTTTAGCACTCGTCCGCCCCATATGGTTACATAGCGCTGAGTATAGAAACAGAGTTTCACCAGTCGACTTGCAAATTTCCTCAGATCTCGGCTTAGAGGATCTCGGTGCGAGGCACGAGACCGTCTCCAAGTTTGAAGACTGGAGAAGAGGGCTAGTAACGGTACGTCGCAGATTGGGTAGCAACATTTCATATCGGGTGCCTACAGTGGCAAAATGTTAAAAGAGATGGGACTAATAATATGTGATGGGGAGGTTGAGGCTTTCTTGGCTACTAACTAAGGAGTTTGTGGGTATCGTATTTGCTCTTGTTGTCCAGATCCATTCCATGTTTCACGGCATTATGAGGGCGAACCTACAAGTTTGCAGCAAGAAGTCCAGCTACTAGTTCCCATTCATCCTGGAGGGCCGATAGATGCGTCCAGTCCAATGTCGGCTTCGTATGGTAACAGAAGTCGTGGCAAGGACCATAACCTATGCGAGCGCCCGCATCAAGATGAAAGAGGGAATTGAGGCTTCGCACGGAAAGCTTCCTCGTCACATTTATGCTGGCTTCCGTAGTTTCATTCCCTTCACCGTCCAAACATATGTTCGAGCCATGATCACCCATCTCCTCCAGCACAGGATGTTGTACGACGTCCTAGTCTGGGCTCAAAGCCGCTACCCGTGGTTTATCTGATACATCATGAACGAAAAGACCGCGTGTGGGTTGACGCCTCCACGCTGAAGCAGAACGTTTGGATGTGATGTTACCTGCAAGTATCCTGATGCGCCAGGCACGGGTAGAGGCATGAGAGGAATGAAGCTGAATCATACCGACCCCTCTCATGCTTCCCAACAACGTCAAACTTCTGAACTTGTCCCGTTTACGGTGATTCGTTAGCACTCATCATATACTGGCGGTACAAAGTTGTGCAGGGAGTTGAAGCTCCCACCGTGGCTTGACTCTCACGATCAGGGTCCGGATGAGCCAACAAAGAAGTGTTATGCACGAGACGACCATCAAAGGGGGGGTTAGAAGCCCTGCCTAGTGACTGAACTTGTTCAAGCCCTCTATGACGAGAAGAGAGATGGCAGGAAATGTTATAAAGTTCACTCACTGTCCTACATCGTGTGCGGTGTTGAGTCAACATGAGATCAGAGCTGGACACGACAAGCAGAAGCCGTGATGAAGAATGCATGCGTTTCAAGTGTCCACTTCCGGCTGTGGAAGCACCTAGTAGAAGGCCTAGTCTGGTTCAAAGTATAAAAAAACTGGACTTGGGCGGCTGCATGATACTGCCACGAGTCGTGACCGTTCCAGGCTGGCACAAGACAAGCAAGCCATTCGGTGTCAAGTTATCAAATGTTTTACTGTTTGCCCACTCACCCCAAGAATAGCAACTCAGCAGCCACGTCTCCAAGGGGAGCGAACGACGCCCAACCGCCGATCTCTGGCTTGATGGTGGCGGGAACAAAAAAAGACACGTCTAGATCTCCACACCTTCAGAGGTGATTTTATACTGTGACAAAGGCAAAAACGCCAGCCAGCCAGCCTAGCCAGCCTACGGATACCGCGAATGGTCGCTGGAAATGCAAGTTGTTGTAATTACAGTACCCCTTTCCCCCATCTTATCGCATTGCGTGGCTTTGAACGCCTCTAGCCGGCCAATGAGCCGTGTCGTGTGCTAATTGTTTGCGAGACTAACAAATGGCATGTCTCAACATTTTCGAGGCAATGGCGGATATTTTCCGCCGCCGAATGCATTTTCTTGACAGAGGCAATAGTCTCAACCGCGATGCATTGGAAGATTAGCTTTGCATCTCTGGTATAAGATATCAGCCGCGTGGGGAAACAGGCAGCATGTCAGGGATCTCACGGGATATACATGGCCCCTGCTACCACATACTCCAAGCAACTGTTGACAGGACCTGTAATCCCTGCCATGTACAGATACGTATGTACGGAGTATCCAGATTCTCGTTTGCCATCGGCGGGCCGGAGCGAATGCTTGCGGTTCTGTATCTCATGATTGTGCTTAAAAGAATACCCTCAGAACTATTGTGGGATTGTAATCGGGCTTCATATGATCTCAGGCTTCTCATAGTGAGCGGTAGTGGCTCGGTAGAACGAGTGAATTATCGGATTGGTATGAGTCGATTTTACTGACTCTAAAGGTTTCCTGTGCTTCCCAAGCTGCCTCTCTATACTCCGTACCGGTGCAGTCTTCATGTCAAAGTGGCCAGGTTTTTCGACTTGCTATGGGACCTCTGGCTCTTGACTATTGTCCTTCAATTCACTGATGTTAGGGACAGTGACTGTCTATGTCCTCGAAGGCGTTCAAGCAGAGATAATCCAAATCTTAATAAACCTTGATTACTGTAAGCTTCTTGTGACATTGATAGTAGGTGTTGATCTTTTTCTAGCACCGTCATGAAATAGTAGTATGAACCTATTTGTCTTCATGCTAATGATATATAGAGGATTTGTGAAGCAGTTGTGTAACTGCACATGGAAACAGCATTAATCTAATACGAAGGTAACTAATCTGAGGTAAAGTAATCATGCTCCATATTCACGAATGGATCTCAATCAGAACTATGGGCTGTTTTTCTTCAATGCCTAGGTGGATCTGTCAGCAACACCGGCAGTTGAGTTGGTGAATAGGAAGAGAGCCTCCCTTGGAGCTTGGGTCGAGCTCGGCTACACATTGAAATTTAGATTCGGTTACAGACCTCCAGGAGGCTATCTGTAGGTCTTTACGCGCACAGTTCTCCCACGAACCACCGTGGAAGCGGAACCCCTTGCCGGTGATGTCGTCTCAATTAGTCTTTTCGAATACTTGTGCTGTACGTACCTATGAAGCACCCTTGTCCGGGGATGACGGGCGCACCCCTTCTGTGCATCTTGGCTGTGCCTGGAGCTGGTGCACCCTGGTCGAGCCGGACACACAGTCCCAGTGTCCCACAACGGCTGGTAATCGCTCGAGTTGAGTGTGGGCTCACATCCCTGACCGACATTCCAGACATGGGTCGTTAGGAACCAACGAAGGACGTAACTGCAGTAAAGAGATTGAAGGTGCAAAGACTCGTCAGATAAAAGTCGTTGATGCGCGCGACATTGTATCATAAATATCGTTGGTCTGGTCGTATACGCTTCCGAGACGGGAATTGGAAGAAGATAGGGGGTGACTCAACTAATCTGTGGTGTGTAATGGTTCTTGCTCGTTAAGGATCTTCAAAAATAGCCCAGTATGTCTGCTAATATTATGGCTCTCGGTTTGTAAGTTAGGTATGGACAATCTGGTTCATAATCCCGAGATTGTGCCAGGATACGGTCTTAAGCCCTGTGCCCATATCAATCTTGAGCGGTAGGGCTGCGAGGATGACTCAAGACATCGTCAAGAGGTTCGTGAGTTAGCTTGCGGCGACAGCTAGGCACAGCACCTCTGGGCCCTTGATCGCACATCGTGTATGGCAGTACCGGGTCAGGGTCTGTGGCAGCCTTGTGCATGTTGACAGGTGGTGCCTATCAAACGCATACTAAGCCCATGACGGACGAGTGTCAAAGAAATCGCGGATCTATGAAGGCCCCGGCCAGATCTGACGATGGCTACAGACAGGGCCCAGATAACTAATGGTATGAGGTTGCAGAATTGGAGCGCGTGAACAGGCACGATGTGCAATGGCTTTGAGGGAACGATGTGCATTCATCAAATACATCCCAATGAGGATGCGTATTCAGGCTGCAACTCCGAGGTGGGCTGAATGTGAAGCCAGCTTCCATCCTGATATCCTTCGGCTGTGCCTCGGAGCGCAGCGGGGAACACGGGTTCAGTGGCGGTGATGCCGTTGCGCTGTTTCTTGAAGTCCAATCATGGACTGTAATGCAAAGTGATCATGTTGTTTTCAACAGTTGCTTCAGTGGATTGACACCATAGGGAGTATGGGACCACAAGTCAGTGCAGCAAGTTACTTTGCATGCTCTTTGAGGATGCCACAATCGACACTAGAGCAAAGTGAGAAGGTCCCTTGAACTGCAGACTCGACATCAAGCATGTAACGCGATGGCCGAGGTTTGGTGACCACAGGTTGTCAGCCGTGCATGAGATGGGAAATTAGATGTTGATGAGTTTGACTCTGGGGCGACTTAGCGGCATCCTAAAATTAACTAGAGCCCAAGTTAGGAATAGTAACTTCTGCAGAGCAAGGCTTCACACACACCATCACTCCAGAAGTCCCTCAGACTTTGCACCACTCCCCACCTGCACTGCATGAGGCATCGGGACGGCTAGTACCATCCATAGCGCTGAGCGTTGGCAGCTGGCGAAATAATGACAAGCTACGGAGTACCGTAAGTACGTAGTAGGGTAACGATGGAGGTCGTCTCCAATAGGCTCTTGAGAGCCACTGCGAGGTCGAGACGGATGGTATTCCCATATTCTGGAGAGGCTTGGGCGTGATCTTGCTATGTATCTGCATGCGAAATGCCCTGTATATTGATGTGTTTGCTGCTAGATGTCGATTCGCAAGGCTGACATGAAAGTGGTAGTGGTGATGGTGATGATGTCGTCGTCGTTGTTGACGTTGGTCCAAAACCTTGATGTTTGAGTCAGGAACAAGGCGCGGGAGGCTGTCCAAGTGCGGCACATGTTCCAAGCCACCACTTTGCCTTGGGTGGGGGCATCCTTCCTTGTAATTAAGCCGTTGGCGAAGGAGAGAGCCACAATTGGAAGCCGTCGAACTCACATGAGATTTGGCAGGAGCGTGGGCGTCATGCTTTCCGTAGGG